CCTCAAAGTGCTCTAGGAAGGTTCACCTGAGCCTAAAGTGTCTCTGGACTTTTCTGTCATCTGAGCCAGTAAAATTGATCCTTTATTGCTTAAGCCATTTGGAGTTGTATTTTCTCTGACTTGTAACCCACATTATCCCACCTAACATAAGGGCTCCGAAGGCGGGACCACACTTGTCTAGCTCACTGCCATAACACTATCTGAATCCTCAGTCCAAGGCATGGCGGCCTGTACAGAGTAGGAGCTTAATAAATGCATGCAGAAAAAAAGAATATGAACTCTCTTTTTTTAAAAATTGATTTTAGAGAAAAAGGGAGAGGAAGAGAGGGAGAGAGAAACATTGATGTGAGAAACATCCATCTGTTGCCTCCTGAACGTGCCCCATCCAGGGATTGAACCCACAACCTGGTATGTGCCCTGACCTGGAATTGAACTAGGAACCTTTTGGTGCACGGATGACTCTCAACTGAGTGACACCAGCCAGGGCAAGAATATGAACTCTTATCTTAACAGTGATATAGAAGGAATTCAGTATTTTTCTCAATGTTTGATCTTATCAATAAAAATGCTGCCTCTTCCTCATATTTGCTACTAATAAATCTTTAGTCTTCTGACCTTTAGTTTTTTAATCCAGAAGTTTTAATTTTTATGAACTAGAATGTTTTCCTTTGTGACCTTTATTTTTTTGAGATATAATTGACATATACCTTCATGACCTTTAATACTAAAATTCTAAATGGATCTCCTCTCAGAGTTGATATTCAATTGTATTTTCTTCTAATTTCTCTACAGTTAAGTTGTAATACTTAATTTACCTAGAATTTATTTAGGTGTATGGTTTGAGGGTAGAGGTTTTTGTTTTTAACATTTTGTGTGTGTGTGTGTATTNAATGCAGTCTTCCCTGTTAGCTTTGGCAGACGTGAGTTCATTCTGACTGACCTCCTTAGCAATCCCTGTACCCTGGGGACTGAGTCATGTGTTCCACCTGTGCTCTGGGGAAACCCCAGTACTGTGAATGACGTCCTCACCAGGATCACGTGGAATGTGGGTGGCAGTTTACTCAAAGGACAAGAAATATACTCCCACTAAAAGAAGGAAAAGCATACCAGGCAGATAAAAAATAGTCACTAGTCTTTATACACTCTATCTCTTGCTTTCCCATTGAAACAAAAGTTCTTAAAAGAGCAATTTATACTCACCGTGTTCACTTCCTTACCTTCTCATCTCTTCATTTACTAAAACTTGGGTTCTCCATCATTCCTTTGAAACTGCTTTTGCTCAGAGCATTTAGTGACCCCCCAGGTGCTGAATTCAGTGAACTTTCAACTTTTATTTTCTTTCAGCTTTGTGGTATTTGACACACCTGTCTTGTCCTTCCTTTTGGAAATCTCTCCTTTGGTTTCTTTCTTTGTTTGTTCAAAATATTACAGATGTCCCTTTTTCTCCCCAATGACCCATTCCTTCCCTTCCTACCCCCTCCCCAGTCCCTCCCCACACCATTGTCCGCGTCCTTGGGTTGTGCATATATGCATATGAATTCTTTGGTTAATCTCTCCCCCTCCATGTTTTTAACATTTTAACCAACTGTTCAAATGCATTTCCCCCCTTTGGTTGCAATGCTTCTTTTGTCCTTTTAAAGTGCTTATATGAAATTGGGTCTATTTCTGCCTAGCCAGTCTGTTAAATTGAAGTATAAGCTAGGTAATGTTTTACCTCTGCTGAGGCTAATAATCCTCCCAATTAAGAGGCCTTCAGTTTTTCCTTTGCCATCTTCCCTGTTTGTTCTTGCAGCTGAATATAAAAATAATTCTTTCCAGTTCTAAAAGGACTCTACAGGGATTTTTACTGTAATTATACAAAGCCTAAAAACAAATCAAGCAGGAATTGACAGCTTTACAGTTTTAACTTTGCCATCCAGGGAAGTTTTTCTTCATTAAGTTTTCCCACATTTCTCAGCAAAATTTCGTCATTTCCTTCACATAGATCATTCCTCTTCAAATAAAGGTTATTTCTGGGTATTTTATATTTTAGGTTGTTTTATTTTCTTTCCCTGAGCTCTGTGAGCCTCTCTAGCAAATTAATCAAGGGAGGATCATGAGAACCTCTGATTTGTAGCCAAGTTGGACAGAAGTTGTGGATAACCTGGTGACCTTCTACTTGTGACTGGTGTCTGAAGTTAGGGTGCAGTCGTGTGGTTCTGAGTCCTTAACCTGTGGTATTGACACTATTTCCAGGTAGACAGCTTCAGAACTGAGTTAAATTGTAGGACCCCCAGCTGGTATCACAGAGAATTGCTTGGTGTGGGGGATAAGCCTCACACACTTGGGGAGCAGATGTGTCAGAGGTGGAGTGTTTCTGTGTGAGCAGCAAATACAGGAGACACAGAGGTAGAAAACTGAGTTTTTCCTAAGACCCATGTTTTTCAAAAACTTTCTCCCACAATAATATATTTTATACAGCTGGCCAGTTCACACACACACACACACACACACACACACACACACACACAGAGAGATAGACATAAACCAGATCTAAGGTCCCCAGACTCCTGCAAACGTGCACACTTGGGCCTGGAACACTAGCGAGGAGGAAAGACCTAGTGTTTAATTGGCACTGAATTGATGAAGTCATGAGGATGAATGGCTTCCTTCCCCTCAGCTGTCTAAGATCCTGCGGTCTAAGGCTTGGTGACCAACACCCTGCCAGGAAATTAATTACCCTGCCACCATCTACCCTCAATCCATGTGCCAGAGGGCTCCAGAGGGAGATTCCAGCAGAAAGGGCACACACATTTCAGAGTTCAAAGTAGGTCTGCCAACCCACAGAGCGCACAGAGCGGAAATTGCTCACCTTTAAAAAAAAAAAATCTCCTTTACCCTCAGCCTAGATAAGGGTTTTCCTCGGAGAAAGGGGGGGCTACAGAATATTTAGGTCTCCAATTTTGAATTTCAAGGCCATGGTGCTTAGAATTGGGACGGGGGGTGGGGAGGAAACAATTTCTCCTTGCAAAGCTACAGTCCTAAATTGAAGCGTGGAAAAGAGGCCAGGGGCCCTAGGCTAACATCTGCTGCTGGGTCAGAGCCTGAACAAGCTCAGGCCCAAGCTCCACAGCGCTTGGCTCTGAGGAGTGAGGGAGCCCAGGGGATTATTAGAGGACCCACAGAAAACAACACAATTTGAAGAGCTGATGAAAGAGGGAAGGCTGCTCCTTTCCCAGGGGACATTACCCTCCTCGGTCAAATGATCATGTCAGAGCATCTTTCCAGAGTAAATCTTGGAACATTCCATAGTGAAAGATTCTTTTAAATAGAGATGAAAAGTGAGCAAATCAACTTCTGGCTTTAGAAACAGTTTTTAAAATGTTCCAATGCACAATTTGGTTGAAATACCACATCCTTATCAGGATTTTTCTGTTCAGGGGCGGGGACGAAAGAAGAGGCGGGAGGACAGGGGCAGTTGTTCAGCAGGCAAGGAATGCTCCTGCCGCTTTCCCCAGGCCGGGCCCGTGCTCCTGGTTTACGGGAGGCTGCTGATGGCTGCGTGTCTGGGCGGCTCTCAACACCCAGCTCCAAAAACCTGGCCTTCATGGCATAGGTCCCAGGGAGTCAGATTCAATCTCCCCTCCACAGAAGGCACAAGAGGCACAGAAGAGCTGGCTTCCGAATGACATAGCAGGGGCAATAAACTGGCCGCTGAGGTCAGGGGCAGCTTCCTCACTGCACCTCCTCAGGCCCTGAGCCTTACCACGTTCTCCTCTGGTCCCCATCCTTCCTCCATCTCTAATGGGAAAGGTTGCCAAGAGGTAAACTACCTTTCCCTCGACTACCTTCTCCTCTCAGAGGCTCTCCTTAGCCTCTGTGCCAAGCCCCTGCTCCTTTTGGTGGTGATACAACTAAACTCTGGGAAACACACACCAGAGGCCCTTTTTTTGTCCAAGGACTCTCAGTGCCCTGGTTCTAGCCTCTGGAGTGTCTCCAGAACACTTAATTATCTCCAACTGGAATCTCTGCTTATCCCAAGCCCTGAAGGCCCAGGTCGAGAGCCTCCCCTTCCTCTATGGCAGTACACTCACCCCTGCCCCCCTCCAGCCTGGCAAGTCTTCTTGGCACCTTGGGCAACCCCACCCTGCTTCCACCCTCTTCGTATTCTGAAAACAAGCACAGTCTAGATATACCCACGCCGAGCAAGGCTGCCAGAGAAAGTGAACCCGCGACTGGCAGAAGACAAACCCAGCTCCAGATCGGGCTTCCAATGCATTCTGAAACCTGGGGTATGAAATACCTGGCAAGTAGAAAGGGGAAGAAAAGTTATGAGAAAAATTTACATTCTTTCAATTGAAAGAGAAAAGGGGGCTAGAAGGGAAATGGCCTGGGATGAAGGAGGTTGCGTTTGTAGTTTCTTTGGTCCAGACAGGATTAGTGTAAATTCAGCTATGTCCCCATTGGGCCCTGCAGTCAACTACATTCTTGGCAAAGAAAGAGATCATTGGACTAATTGAATGATGCCCAGAGATAGCCAAAACTAAACCCTTAAATAGCTGCAGTCAGCATTTCCAGAGTGTTTTTCATGTCTGCAGAGGAAGTGGAGTTCCTCAGCTACCTCCAGTGCTGATTGGTAATCTCTAATTACAGGATCTCTGCCTCTGACCTGTTCTTTTCCAACTGAGGACACACACTGGCCAAGCTTAGGAATCCCACAAGGCCACCATCCAGACAGAGTCAAAGCTAAAGTTAGGGGCCACCTCCTACAACAAGGACTCAAGGCCACGATGTTGAGCTGCTTAACAGGGACATTCTAACTCCTCTCAATGCCACAAAGTCCTCATATTATAGTGTTTGGGATGTCCGGACCATACCTCCCAGAAGTGGGCAACACTGTGCCCATCTTCACGAGGCACTGAAATTATGTTCTTTCATTACGGGAGGCTGCTGATGGCTGCGTGTCTGGGCAACTCTCTTTTCGCTGAAAAGCGAAAAGAAATCAGACCAGGAGCTCGAAGAGACATATTAACATAATTTATTAAATTCACCATACAAAGAATATAGCACAGGAAAAAAATATAAGAACTGGAAAGGCCCATGGGAATCAACCAGTCTGAACCCCTGGTTTTACAAATGAGAAAACTGCATGAAGGAACCAGAACACCATTACAGACGAAGCCAGAGTGTGACGCAGAAACACCCAGGCTTAAGGCTTCCAGTCTTGAACCAAACAGAACCTAAAGACTCAATCTATGTTTATTTTTAATTTTTCTGTGTCCTATAGCACCACATTCTGATGCTTTTCTCCCTCTTGAGGCTACAGGAAGAGCCCAAAAGAAAACATTAGTGTGGCAGGGTCATTCTAAGCCAGGAGGACAACAGACCCACAATGAAGCAGAGGGGCGCAGGGGCATTAGGGGAAGAATTCAGTTCCTCCCCAAGAGTCCGGATCACCCTCTTCCCCCAAATATACACCCAGACCTGATGTCTCAGGGCAAACACACCCACATTCCTGAGGTACAGATCAGGTGTGGCGGAGGAAGGGGTAAGATGCAGGTAGAGGAAAGAGAAAGATTTATAACAATGTCGTTCTGAAATGAAGTCCAGTGGAAACACCTTTGCCAATGTCAAGGAAATCCAAACGTCGCGAGAGAAGGCTGTGAAACTCAGGTACTGAATCAGTTGTGAGATACAAGCAAAAAACACCAATAACTTAGCAAAATAAATACAATGAGAGTTTCGCTGAGATTGATATAACCCAGTAAAAATCATTTTTAGGCTCTGAGTCAGTCAAGATGACTGAGGTGTACCTTGTACTGCATCTTAGGGGAATCCCTAAGAGATTCTGGGAGTCTTCAAAGCAGAGAAGTCACACATAACTGCGGCCCTACACAATCTTTCTGCTCAAAGCCACTCCGAGTGCACATTCCCTTCTCCCCAGAAAGACAGGCCGGCCAGTCAAAGATGAAGGAGACCCAGGTCAGCATGAGCTGAGGGTGGAGCCAGTGGAAAAACAGTTTGTTGCTAAGAACTGAGCTGTGTTTTTGGAAGGAACTCTGTTCCCCCAGGACACTCTCCAATCACTGTGAACATCTGCATCTCCATCTTCTAGGGCTGAGGCAAATCTTGTCATCTCTTCACTTGTCCCGCCTGGATGAGGGCCTGGGGCAGCTGAACTCCAGTCTACAATGGAAGGGAGGCTCTGCTAGGAGAAAACAGTGACTACAGGGGTGAAGGTCCCGCCCTGGCTCCTGCCAGTGGGATCCTGTGGTCCAAGGGCTGCAGTGTCCAGACGAGGCGCTCATCCTCGATCCACCCAGCATCCCCAGGACAGGAGTTCAGAATCAGCGGGTACACAGACCCAAGCCCTGAGGGCAGCCAGGGAACAGTCAGAAAGTCAAAGTCAGTGCTAATGGCCTACAGGGGTGGTGAGTTTCTCCGCAGGCAAGAGAGGCGAGGCCAGGCGAGGCGGCAGCAACAGCAGCACCCTTCTCAGCTCAGGTTTCCACCACTCGGATGAGAGGCATGGGCTTAGGGCTGGGGGGCTTGGCTATCCTAACGCTGAAAAGAAAATTGGCAACACTGAGTCCTGGGCTGTGGCCCACCCTGCACAGAGCCACCCCTCCGTGTCTGTCTCTGGGATCCTACACTTCAGTGCTGGCTGAGCTCTTGGGTTCCAAATGCTTTGAAACAGTCACTGCCAGTGACACCTACAGGAAGACTTGGGGGTGGAGCTTTTGTCTGGTGGCAGGGGTGCTGAAAGAGAGGGGGCCAGCTAAACAACTGAGAAGGGATGTAGCTGTGATTCTTGATTTTTTTCAAAGTCTTGGAATTTTTTGTGAATCTCTTGAGGGGAAAAAAAGGTCCTCTTCCTAGAAATATGCACGTATTATACCTACACAATTTTTGCATACAATTGCAGAGGGTTCATATGCCTCCATGGGCTGTTCGTGGGCCTCCCGGGGTTGTGGTAGCACCCTCTATTCTAACCTGGTTAGAAAATGGTTCAGGTGGGGAATGGGTCAGATTAGAGACTGAGAGAATAAACTGGGATTTAAAAGAGCCTTGCCCTTGCCTTAGCACTAAAGGTCTGTCACAGCTCTGTCCCTCTTTCCTTCACTTCCTCCCTGGGCCCCACTCCGTACAAGCCCACTCACCTGCCCACATTGTCTGTCTTGGCCCAGGTCTGGGTGCTGAAGTTGGCGTGACTGATCTGTTTCTCTATCAGGTGTTCCATCCGGTCGTGCATCTCTAAATTCTGTACCACGAGTTATGAGGTTAGAATTCGCCCCCTTCTGGCTTGCCATTCATCACAGTTAACTAGCTCACTCTGGTGTCTGCACCTCTGTGGTGTTTGTGCTGCTATCGCCCTGCCCCCCCCCACAAGCACCATCACCAGGGTGCCCTCTCGCGTCTTCCCCAATCCAGACGGCTCTCTTCCTCCAGTAACTGCTCCAGCCCCCTTCCCTGAGGAGTGTTCTCTCCCTAGCTCTGTGCGGCACTGATCATGTCCTGTATCTCCTCCCTATACATTTCCTGTATGTAATTTCCTGGAGTCAGTTGAGACGTTTATTGCCCTTGTTGATATGCTACTCCATAAAGTATTCTTAGGTCTTTTTAAAAAAATGTACTTTATCTCTAACTCTAGATGGCAAGCTCCCTGAAGATCAACAACCCTGTCTCCCATTTCTTTTTATCTCCCCGCCACAGGGAAATTTCACCCAGTGGCTGCAAAGCAATCTCCAGGAAGTCAATGGACAGGAAGGCTCTGAGCTAAGGTGGAAATGAGACTAAGAAGAACTCACTAGCTAATCGAGCCCATCGCCTTGGCCATGGAGAGACTCCCCTATAGAATGCCTCATCCTTCGAAGCCCAGCTCTGTGGTCAGCTCCTCTGCTAAGCCCATAGGCAGAATTAAGGGCTTGCCTTAGTGCTGCCAGGACTCGGGGCTTGTACCATGATGACATAGCTCTTCAGAGTGGGCACAGGTCCTACCATTGTTAGCAACTCCCTGAAGGTTCTCAGAAAATGTTTACTCAGCTAAACTGAAGATCAGCCAGATACTCACTTCCGAGCAGCAGCCAGACAAGACCCCCACCGCCCAGGACCTCTCCCTCCCCAATGTCCAGTCTTCTCTTCAAGGGCCTGCTCCCTTCCTGGGGCTGCCCGACTCACGCACCTCTGCTTCCAGGTAGGCCATTTTCTCCTTGAGCTCCTGGATGGTGGTGTCCTTTGACTGGATCACAGCTTTTGAATTCTGGAGCTGCAGAGATATGGGAGACACTGGAGCTCATCTGAAATGACTCATTACACACTCATCAAACTTGGCCCTGCTGCCCGGGGGGAGCCAGCAGAGACTAAAGGCAGAGTCTGCACCATTCACATGACTCGTTTGGCTTTTCTCTAAAAGCCTTGTTTCAGTCAGTATTAAACTCTGGGCTATCCCAGGTGTGGGGGTAGGGAGTGTGAGGGGAATGTCACCCTGATAATCCAAAATAATGGACGATTCCAAAGCCATTCCATTCAACTTTGGGGAATACAACTTTTTCATTCATTTAAGAAATATTTATTGAGCGCTTACTATATGATAGGCCCTATTGTAGACAACGGGAAACAGCAGTGAACAAAACAGAAAAATCCTAGCCCTCACGGAGCTGATGTGCAGCAAAAACACCCTGCCACTTAGGGGTCTTAAGTTCTCAAAACAATTCTGCAAATTGGCATATCTTGCATATGCTACCCTCCAGCTCAGGTGGGGGAAAAGCAGAAAATCTGCCACAAAGTTCTGGGTTGATAACCTTCACATAGGTGAGTTTACTGTGACTCGGTAACATAAATGTGTTTTATGTAACATGAATGTAAGCCAAGCTCCCCAGGAGAATAGATAAATAAAAGCGTAGACTTGACAGGCAAACAGTAAACAGGGCTAGTCAATGCGGTGACTTCCAGAGCGGGGACATCTGACCCTGCTTACCTGCTCTATCATTTGCCGCACTTTCCGCTGCTGGCTCTTAAGCATGTCGTCCAAGTGGTGGATCTTCTCCCGCAGCCCAGCCACTTCCTTTTCCAGGTTAGCAGCCCTGGGGATGAAGAGCAGATGGCTGAGGCAAGGGGGGAAGACGCTCTGTCCACCCGGTCCCAGACAGAGCCTTGGGCTCTGGGTCTCCATCTGGTTTGCTGCCCTCTGCCCAATTCCGCAGTGCTCTGCTCTAAGGAGCAGATGGGGGACCGTCACACTGGAAGCATCACTAGAGATCATGTAGTCCAAATGAGGAAACTGAGGCTTAGAAAGGTGAGAAGTGGTAAGTCATTCTGGATAGTTCCAGAGGGTAAAACTGGAACCAATAGGTAGATGTTCCAGGGCAGCAGTTCTTATGTAAACGCAGGAAGACTTTCTCAGTATGGAAGCTGTCAGAAATGGGCTGCCTTGTGTGTAGGGAGCTCCTCAATCCTGGAAAGAATCAAGTAGAAGCTGCTCATTGTATTTTTCGTCAGCACAGCTTGTGAGGAAGTTATTCGACTTTACCCTCAAATAGTTTACGGTGAGTTGTTGTTTGGCGGGGAGGAAACCATGGTGTAAAAATGCCCCATCCACATCCGGGGAAACAACCTGTGGGATCATGTGCAGCAGCGGCAGATGCTCTCCCAGCTCTTGATCTTGGCTCTCAAAACAAAACCCTTTTCTTGAGGTTATTACTCCATGGAAAATGAACTCCCTGGAGATGGCAGCTTCCCAAACACTATCTGCCTGGGCGGGGCCCCACCCTGAGCTGGCATACTGTGAGTCAGAGCTGGAAATCCGACGTCAGTACCAGCCTCTTCCCCACGTCTGGCCACCCTGGGAGCTGCAGGCTTCGCGGCCTGCCCTCCCCTCCCTGCATTCCAGCTTCACGGCCAACAGGGCCCTTACTTCTCTTGTTCTGCTTGGCAGTCAGTATTCTTGATCCGAAGTTCCTCCAGGGCCGCTTCCCCTTCCCTGACCTTCTCCAGTAAGGCCTGATGCTCCTGGGGGGCCAAAGGGAAGAAAATCTAAGATGGGGAGATGGCAACAGGTTCTGCATTTGGGGTGAGATGGCCACCAGGGCTGGGGCTCAGCCCCTACTGGGCCTGGGACAGCTGCCAAAGAGCAGCAGGCCAAGCTGGTTTGATGGGGCGCCCTCCACTGTCAGGGAGAAGCCTTCCCACCCTCAGCACACAGAAACTTCCCAGCCTCACCCAGCGGCCCGGAGAGAGAGCCTGGCCCTGTATTACCCAGGCCCACCTGCCAGCGATGGCTGCCCATGCCTCAGAAACCAGGCCAAGTGGCTCCTTAAGAAGGGGCTTCCAGAGCCCATAAAGAGCAGCTGTACAAGAACCCAGGTAAAATGGAAATGGGCTCAACTCTAGTTAGCAAGGGCCAAAGTTAGATGAGAAGAAAGGCCTTTCCTTCCTTCAAGGCTAAAAGATACTCGAAGGTATTTGCCAAAGGAAGCTGCGAAGTGTGCTTTCTCGGAACTGCTCAGAAAGGAGTCCCCACCAGCATCTCAGCGATCCCGGGCTGCGCCCTGAAGAGCAAGGCTCCCACAGTTACCGTCTCCATCCCCAGCAAGCGCCTCTGCAGCTCTCTGACTTCCAGCTCTTTCTGCTCCGCCCTGTCCTCTGCTCTCTGAAGGGCCACGTGGCTCTGCTCCGCTTCTCTCTGGTATCGGCTGAGTGTGACCTAAGATGCAGGATGGTGATGTATAAAGTAGCAAGAAAAAAGACCAAATGTGGGTAAAAACCTTAGAAAAGAACCTATGAACCTGGGTGCGGTGATGGGAGAAAGGGGACAACTCCAATGAGCACATGGCCACCTCCCATCATTGCCCCAGGACCACTCGGGACAGTACATTAGCTCCATCTCCAGGGTTCAGTGGCAGGTCATTGGTCAAGCTCTTTAGAGTAACACCTGGAAGTAAGCACCGCTTTCCAATGGCTTCTTCTCCATCCCCACGTGTCCTCCAGTGCCACCCAAAGTCACCCAACAGTGTGACTTTCCCACTAATGCAAACAAGGAGGATCCAGGGGAGGGTATCCCCACGTCCCTGCTTCGATTCCCCAACTCTTCCTCACCCTCACTTCAAGCCACACCCCAGCCTACGTAACAAAGGCCAAAGTCTACTAACTACCAGGAAGAATTCGTTTCTTTTATCTAAGATGATAAACTAATTTGGAAAGAACAGAAGCATAGTTTTAGAATGAAAAGTAAAGTTGGAACTTGCTTCCTTTCCTCCCACATGCATTTTGCCAACTCCTAATTTTCCTTCAGGTCTCAGCTCAGACCCCCCTGCTTCCAGAAGCCACCAAGCCTGGGTGAGATGCCCAGAGGACACACAGCCCCTCCCTCTTAGGGCACTGAGCAGATTTTGCCCAGTCACTCACGTGTACCCCCCAGCAGGCCATCAGCTTCATGATGGCAGAGACCTGGAGCACCATTACATTTCCAGGGCTCAGCACAGTATCCATCACACAGTCATTGCTTGATAAAATCACAAATGGAACTGACGTTCATCTAGTCCAATGCTCTCCTTTCCCAACTAAAAGGTCAAATGACCTATTCAAGGTTACACAGCTAGAACCCAGTTACTTCATCATCCATTTCAGTGCTTCCCAGTGACCCCACACTGGCTCCCCCTTCAGTTACTAAGAGAGCCCTGGTAACCTCTGGAAAGCCTAACCAGCCCTGGGAAAATAGAACACCAGAAGCCAGTTTGTCCAGCTCCTCCCAAAGGCAGAATTAGGGAGGAGAAAGTAATGCCCAGGATGATGTGTGATAGCACATGTCCCTGCTACACACCAGCCCTGTCCAGGGCAAACTCACTGCAAATCCCTCCTGACAGCAAGCATCCAGTAGAACAAGAAACCAGGCTTAATGGCAGGTTGTTTTCATGGTAATTGACAACCTTACCCTTCCTACCCTCAGGTTCAGCAAAGTGGACCACAGAGTCTAATTCATTAGGAGAGACTGAGAATATCCCACATTAGCCTGGCACAGGCCAGCCCCATGGGCAGGAACTTAGAAACAAGGCCTCTCATTTCTGTACATAAACACTGTACCCAGGTCGATGTTTACTCGGAGCAATAAGCCAGGGACTGATCCTCCCACCCCACTGTAGGATCACAAAGGAGATAGAAAACCACACTACCTGCTACATCTGTCCCTGTAACTCCAGCCAACCTCTTCATCGTAGGAATGTGCCAACCTACCCCAACAGTGGGACCAGCCCAAGGAATACCTCCTGTTTGCAGGGGGGTGCTATGTACCACGGCGTTAAGGGCAGCCCCCCCTAAGAAACCATGGGCGTGTGGCCACAGCTGCCAGGGGCCTTCTAGCCTTGGGCTTTTACTCAGGACACTTGCTCAAGCTTTGAAACTCAGGGCTAACAGAGCCCTCTATGTGTGGCCCAAACCGAGAACTACTTCACAATGCCTCTCCATGCAGAAATTTCTCTCCAAAATGCACAGTCTGGTCAGTACTGCAGCCTCAACCTCCCCTTGCTCCCATTCTCCAAGAAAGTAGGGCAAACTGGTCACCAAACTGATACATCACCAGCCACATTATCCAAACCGTGGAATCGGAGTGCATGTGGCAAACTCCTTTACTGCATGGCTACTTTGTTCTGATACCAAACTAATCTCAGGATGGCCCTAAGTTCAAACTATTTAGGAGATCACTGATCATTAATAAAAATACAGGATATCTTACATTTCTAAAACCCTTTAGAGTAATAAATATATTTACATATATTATCAAACACAATCCACACGCCAAACATATTTCATAGCCACTTTTTTACAAAAGTTGAAACTAATGCTTAGGAAGGTTAATTCCTGGCTCAGATAACACTTCAGCTACTCTAGAGGCAGCCAAGCATTCTCAGTGCCTTCTTCCTCACTCTCAGTCCTCCCCTCAAAACCCTGTCTCATGAAAGGGAAGACTTTGGGTGGCCTTCCTCCTTCCACCAGCTCCTGGTATGTCTGGGCAGGGCATAATCTATCATTACATATTTATGACAAATACCTTACATGTGGATGAACAACAGAAGGTAACAGATGGCTACAGAGTAGTTAGAAAAACTGTCCAGTATTTGCCCAATGTTTCTCAGATTATACTCAGAGAATTTCTGGAAAGTATGGAAGACCTCACACACTTTTAACAGTGCGGAGGCTTCACTTTCTATTTATAGATTTGTATTTTTAAAATTTTCTATAATAACCCAGTATAACTTACAACAATAACTGAGGTATTTGTTCAAGATCACAGAGCTCCACATAGTAAAGCCAAGACTACATCTAAAGTCTCCCAACTCCACGGGCACAGTTCTTTCTACAACCACAAAGGACTGTCCACTCATCTAGTCCACACGAGGTGCCTAGGATACGCCAGGTATTGTGCCAGGCACTGGGGATGCAGTGGTGAACTTGACAGCAACTGTCCTTGCCTACATGGGGCTGGGAGCTCAGTAACTCTTATCCTCGTACTTAGTGAAACATCTTCTGAATTGCCTGCTATGCCAGACCAGCACCACTGTTCAACTTCAGTAGAGCAGAGAATCAAGAGCTGACCTTTGAACTATGGGCTGGCCTTGGACGGCAAAATCCATAAACATCCAGGAGAGGGAAAAGCCCTAGGCCTCAAAGCCTACCCTTTGCAGTTGATGGCACCCAACCAGAAAAACATGAGGTCCATACTGAGAAAGTCACTGGCACCTGTACCCAGAAGCCCAACCCTTGGGGCACCTTCTGCCCAAATCCCAAATCTCACCTCAAAAGTCACACGGTCTGACCGGTGCTGCTGCTCGGCCTCTTGCAGCTTGGCAAGCAAGTCCCGCACAGTCTTCCTCAAGCTCTCGACATCTTCATTTATATAGGTGTCCACCTACAGCCAGAGCAGGAAAGGGTAGGTGAAGCCACTATGCTTGTGACTTGGTAAGAGACGGTTCTCCCCACAACACACACTTGTTTGGGCCACCTTGTCCAGACCACCTTCACAAAGGAATTCACATCACACACGGGATGAGTTAGTCTAAGGCACCCAGGAGTCCTGAGTCAGTCCTATGAAAGCACTCTCTCCTCATACTGTGGCAGGCAGTTAGACAGACATCAACAGGGCAAGGACAATGGGCCAGGTACAGAAGGGCACCAGGGCGCAAAGCCCTGGATGCCTAGCAAAGGACAACTGTCCAGTGGGACCTTGCTCCCAGGGCGACCTTTCCTCCCCTAGCATATTGATGGTCATGCGGTAGCTTGGACCCCCTGACCTTTCCTCCCTAGAGATAACAGCTAGGCCTCAACTGTATTTCAGCTCTAGGCCCATAAAAGCAGCAAAACCTGACAAGTGACACCAAGGCTGACCTCAGGACCAGCTGCATTGACTAATGACCCCCTGCCCCAGCACGACCCTGAAAGGACACACCTGGAAAGCTGATGAATATTCTATTAAGGTCTTCCCCTGGGACCTTCCCTAAGGTCTCCACCCTTAAAGCCCTTAGGACAGAGGACCCAGAGGCTTTACTTTCTCCTCTCCTCCTTTCCCCTCCCCCATGTTACCATTACCTTCCTCACTCCCAAGCTCCTAGGGCCCTTCCTTTGCCTCTATAACTTAGTTCCTCAGCCCATTTCTTCTAAGGAATTACTTCTCTTACCTCTGTGATTTTATAAATAAATGTTGTCTTATAGTTTGAGTCTTGGCACTGAATTCTTTCCTAGCCAGAGCTCAAATACCAAGGTTGCTGAACCCAGGTCCCATCTGGTCCCACTGGTCTAACACCCAGTGCCGTTCCCATTGCCTACAACAATACCCTAAAGAACTCAACTAGCCTCCTATAATCCTATTATTTTAGGACACAGCAATTTATATACATACGTGTATCAACTGACTGACAGGTATGATTAGACAGTCCTCACGTACATGTCCTATTTCCATCAGACGAGCTCTCTAAGAGCAGGGACCTTGTTCCCTTTGGACTACAGTTCCCCGAGGGCAGGGACTGTGCCACACCCATCACAAGGGGAGAGTTCCAAAGACACATCTTTCATTGTTCTCTGCGCCTGGCACTAAGATTAGTATATAAAGGGTTACTGATGGATGGGCAGATTCAGGGCAAAAAGCACCCAATAAGCCCAGGAATCCGAATCCATGTAGGAAAAGGTGCTTCCTTGATTTTACTGAGTCTCCTGCAGACATACCCAATCATGGGTTGGTGTTAGGGCTGAGCTGGCATGTAGAGTCTCAGCCCCATCTCTGTAGCACAAGTACCAGACACCTCAGGGAAGGAGCAACACCTCCAAACCAAAGCACGGCTGGAGGAGGTCTCAGTCAGATCCCAGTCGCTGCATTATTACTTAGTCCCGTGGGTCTTCACTTCTCTACCTGTGAATCAGTAGGTTCCTTACCACACCCTGGCTTACAGGCTGCCTCAGAAACAAGATCATATCTGATGGGGCTTGGAGCTCATGAGAAGAGGCTGAATAGATAATACCAGGTATCATTACAACTTGTTGCCAACAGCGTATTTACCAACTATGGTGATTCAGGGGAAGAGAAAAAGCCAAGCTGCACCTCTGAGGTGAGTCACAAAGTTCCAAATCTGGCCTTCAGCAAGCTATCCAGGCAATGCCCCACACTTGGACCCATGCTGCTGGGCAGGCAAGGACAATTTAAATGGCTCCTGGAGCAGAATTACTGTGTGTTCAGTTCAAATGGTGTTCTCAGAAGACTACTGAAGGCCATGGAGAATTTTCATGAGAGAAAAAGGGAGTTAGAAAACTTTACTGTAGGATTTGGAAACAACCAAGATTTTAACAAAGCAATGTAGAGAGATCTGAAAACGTGGTGTTGGATAAAAAGGAAAACACGGAAATAAAGCAGAAGTCCACTAAGAAAATCGAAAACACATTTACTAGGCATATTTAAATCATGTGTTGAGTATATTAGAGAAAGTACAGCCATAGAAGGAAATACTATGTTGTTATTCAAAACATGAGGTAGATCTGCACGTACAGACGTGGAAAGAAGGCTATACAATACTCTTCAGTTTAAAAAAATAAAAAAGTAAGCAAGGAATACTTATTTACCATGACCCTGTATTTGTGAAAAGAATGTGTATATTATATACAATATGTATATAATAATATATACACCAATATACATACATAGGATATTTAAATATGGTTATCTGTTTTTTAAACACTCTTACCTTTGGCTAAACATTATAATAACCTGAAGAGCTTTTAAAAGTCCTGATGCCCAGGCCACATCTCTGACCAATTAAATTACAATCTCTGGGGACGGCACACAGGCATCCTGTCCTTTAAAACTCCCAAGGTCATCCCAATGGGCAATAAAGGCCAAGAGGCACTGCTCTAGAAGGATCCACCCATTTCAATCTGTAAACAGTGGATGCTTCCAAGGAGTGGGATTAGGGAAGGAGAATTTCTATTTTATATGTTTCTCCATTGTTTGAATTTTTACAGCAAGTTAGTTCTACTATTATATGCAGTGAGAGAGAGAAAGCAATAAACAAAGGGATACGGGAGGAAGATAACCGGCCTCCTGGCTCAGCAGTCGTTACCCCTGTTTTCCTTGTCACCTACCTCAGGTGGGCTGCTATACAGGGTCGTGGGACTTTGACTAAAACCATTTGGCTTCTCTAGCACCACCTGTTCAAAAAAATAAAATAAAATAAAGCTGGTAGTTAAAACAGTCCCAAGCAACAAACTTCAAAACATTATTCTTCTAAGATCTCAAATCTTAGGTAGGTAGATGATTGAGAGAGAGAGAGAGAGAGAGGAGATTGAGGAGGAGGGAAAGGGAGAGGAGGGAAGAAAAGAGAAGAGGAAGGGAAGGGGAAGGAAAGGGAAAGGGGAGGGGAAAGGAAAGGGGAAGGGAAAGGGGAACGGGAGGGGAGGGAAAAGGAAGGGGAAGGGAAGGGTAGACTCCCAGTGCAGTGTGGGAAAATGGAAAGGAGAGAAACATGTGCTGCCTTGAGAGGGAGTATCTAGCCCTGTAGGCAGGGTGAAGGAAACCTCAGGCTAAAACCTTTCAACAGGCTGGCAAATATGCAGGTCCACTCCTTGCAGCCCAGTGAATACAAGCAGCTGCCTGCTACAAACAACTGCCCTTGCCCCTTAGGGATCCTGACAAGGTTCCAGAAATCATAAATCAAAACGGGAAGCAGCATTTGCTGCAATTCTTTCCAACCCCAAACCTGACTATTCATCACATGACCACTGGCTGTGCAAACAAGGGGCTGGACTTCTGGGCCAGTCTCTGAGCATATATGTTCTTCAGTCACCTGACAGAGCACCTCCCACAAACAGATGTGAGCTCAGGCAGTGAAAGTCCCACTCTCAGCCAAAGCAAAATGCATTCAGGGGAATCGGCCACACAGTCAGTACACGCCCAAGCCCAAGAGGAACTTGGCTGGCACTGGCTTCTAGGTCCCAATTCCCCCAGGGGCTGCTGGAGAAAGACCACCCCCACAAACCAAATGCAAGTGAAGGAGAGACAACTCAGAATCTAATGGGGCGGGGTGGGGGGAAAAGTCATGGAAAAGCAGGGAAGCTCTGCTCTCCTGAGGACATTTCTATCCTCAGATTTTAGAAAAGCAGGATCCCAGGAGTGTCTATCCCAAGAAGCCTCTCCAATTAGTTCAGTTGAACACACACTTACTGATGATTTCTGTATCCCAGCCCCGGTGCTGGGTGTGGGGACAGAGAGACAGGCGTAAACCCTAAGCTCAAGGAGCTGCCCCTCCAGGGTAGGGGTAGCGATATACACAGATAAATAACAGACAAGGACCGAGAGCTCCAATTTATTATACTACAGGTGTTACCCAAATTAAGCAAGGTCAACTTATCAGTTTGGATTTATCGGTGATTGTCTGATTTATCAGACTTTGTATTATAAGATGGATCACAGAATCCTTATAGATAAGAGGTTTTGCCAACACCTTAACAACAACTTTATTTCTATAAATCCAATTTTTGGGAACATGGGCTGAGATGTGTAAATGCCAATGCCCCCCTGGTGGAGCGCCTTACCAAGGCTGTGAGTGCACAGAGAAGCCAGCATCGCCCACATTCTCTCCTTGCCTGGCAGTGGTGTCAGGCTCGGCACCCATGGGGTGACTGGTAGATGGGACTGCCTGGCACAACCCCACCATGGACCATTTGCTATTACCTGTATCTCCTGTCGATGGGGAGACTCTCTTGGGTCCCTGTCAAGCTTGCTACTCATATCCTCCCGGAGCTTCTGCAGACAGCTCCTGGCCTGGACGGGGAAGACAAGGAGCTTCAGCTTTGGGACAGGGTTAGGGAGCACACCAGCCCACCCACCTTTGTGCCATCCCCAACTGTACCCCTAGGAGTCAGGGACTGTTCTCAGCACTGGATGGGGGAAGGCGTGTCCCTAGGCAAGTGGGGCTGCAGCCCAGTCCCTCCTACACAAACAACAAAATAGCAAAACCCTTGCCCCAGCTAACATTCTGGCCAGGAAGACACACGACACAGAAGACAGATAAGTAACACGAGCATTATGTTATATGGAACATATAACATATGTGAGGGTCAGGAAAAGCTGGGAAAGGAAAGCTGGCAACTTTAGATGGAATGGCTGGGGGATAGTGGTGGGCACATAGTACTTACTAAGTATTTGTTGATTAATAGAAGGGTCATTAATGATTGTTTAACACACGACCAGGCGTGGTTGCACTTTTGAGATATGAAGGGAGCAGAAGGGAGAAAATCAGAACCCACAAAAGAAGGGAGCCAAAGAAATGAGAGATTTAGAGAAATGACCAAGGTGATTTCCACAAGGGAAGGGGTGCCCACCTCCTGGATGTACTGGACTTCACTCTTCAGCTGGTTAATATTCTTCTCATGGATCATCTTGTCTCCCGATTTCCCCTTCAAGTACACCTGAAATAAAGAAACAACACGGCTTAGCTAAGAAACCTCCAGTTAAACAATTCCACTGCATGAGGCAGCCTTATACACTGCGGTGGGAGGGTAAATTGTTAGGACCTTTCTGGATGGCAATTTGGTGATTCAGATCAGAACACTTAAAACTACAGTCAAACCTGTTCTTAAAAGTCTCCCATCTCAAACAATTTGGTTCTCGACCAAGTTGTTCACTGAAAAAAATGTCTCGGTTGTAGAACAAAACTTCGGTTTTAACCTGACAACCCTTTCGTGCTGATACCTCAGCGTGACAAAAAGCGTCTCTCAGGCAACAAACAAAGGAGAGAATGCTTTTGTTGCTGGAGAAATCAATGAGTGGCACAATTTTAGAACATAAAGAAGCCATCAAGAATGCTAATGTTGTCCTGGCTGGTGTGGCTCAGTGGTTGGAGCATTGGCCAGTGCACCCAAGGGCCGTGGGTTCGATTCCCGGTCAAGAGCACATACCTGCCATAACGGGCTGCAAGGCAACCAATTGATGTGTTTCTCTCCCATTGATCTTTCTCTCTCTTCCTCTCTAAAATCAATTTTAAAATATTTTAATTTTTTAAAAAGTTGTTTTAATTTTTAAAACTAAGTTTCATAAACATATCTCCCACTTGTCTCCATAATCTCAGCACCTAAACATGGTCAGTGGATAGACACCAAGAAAGGCCATCCCATCCATCCCCATGTCTGGGGCCAGGTTGCACCAAAGTCACTACAGACTGAATGTGGTCTAACTAAGATTTTTCCAGGAGATGGTTAGGAACTAGCATCACAAGTGTGGTTCTTCCTAGTCAAACCATAAGCTCCCTTTGGCAAAGTCAGTCACTCCCTCTCACATGCAGCAGGGAGAAAGGATGGAGGGAGAAAAGGCAGAGGTGAACTGAGCTTACCTTAATGATCTCCTCATGTCCATCGTTGGACTCCACCAGTTCCGACGCCAGAGAATGACTGGTGGAGTGGCCAGACACCATGGAATAGGTCTTCCTGCCCGCCTGAGAGAGAGAAAGAGAGAGAGAAGTGGCTCAGAAATCATATGACAAGCCCAGAGCTTCTGCACCTTGACCAATGTAGACAACCTGCTCCTCCAAAGGGGTTAGTCTGACTTTCCCTTCCAAAAACTCATTTCAGAACCTCTCCTGGAAGCCACACAGCAGCAAGGACACCAGACAGGGGAAATTAGTAGAAGTTGCAGGTTAGTTTTCATTTTAGTGGGGGTCTCCCCATCCTCCAAAGCAGCGCAACATGCTGAGGTCAGCTGGGTGTGCCTGAAGGGAAATGCTCGCAGGCAGCAGCAGAGATGGCTCCAGGCAGCACTGGAGGAAGGCCAGCGGCAAGGAAGGAGAACTGGCGGAGGCGAGGAGACCTCACCCCTCCGGAGACCTCCATACCTTCTGGGCTATGTGTTCAAGTTCATCTCCTGTCAGTTCACTCTGGAGAGTCAGTCTGAGAATGTCCACGCTGCCCTAATAATGACAATGACAGCAACAATAACCTTTACTTTTGCCAGCCCTGTGGAGTGGGCCTTATTATCGCCATTTCACAGACAGGAAAAGCTGAGGTCTGGAGAGGTGACATCAGCTTGCCCAAGATCAGGCCGCTCCTGTGTGGTAGGGTGTCTCTGGGGCCTGACAGTGCTCTACACGGCACCAGAGACTACACAGCACACGCTCCATGCAGCCGCAGGGGGACTACCCTGGTCCTCAGGTTACAGCGAGCACATTGCATGGACTCTTTTCCCCTGAAAAGGGCATCCCTGGATTGGTCATCCCCAGTCCAGAATTTCTGCGCCTGACAGCCAACCCAGAAGTTACTGATGCACTTTACAAGACTAGGATATATTTACTGAACCAAACTACAGGAAGGTATCTGAATCCAAACCCCTATTTCTATGAGCCACACAGACATTATCCAAATGAAAGCAGGCAAGACAATAGGTATTTATCTAGAGAGCAGCCTCATGTGAAAGGAAGAAGCAGATTTTCTTTTATAACTCAAAGGTTTAAAAAACACATTGTGGGGAAAATAGAAAACCTGAGGGGAAAAACATACAGTAAGAGGGAAAGTGGGGAACTGGAGATCTGGGGATATAATAACATTGAGAGACAGTCAACAAGGTAGAATGAACAAAACCCAGCGAAAACCTGTGTTAGGTGTAGAGGTGGATGAGAGGCTTAGCCACTCAGGGTCCCTGGCTCCAACCAGAAAAATCAGAGGGTGGACTAAGTACCTCTAAGAATCCTTCCAGCTTCGATACTGTGACATCATGAAAGGGGAGTATGTGCCTCTCCCAGGCAAAGAAGGGGAGATGGGTGCTGAGCTATCCAAGGATAAAAGTGATCTTGAGGTCATCTGGTCATCCCCTGCCTTGAGGTCAGAAGTATAAATGCTATCTTAGCCTTGACAGATTTAAAGGCACCCTCTTAACTTCCAAATGCCTGTTGGAAGGAAAGAAGGAAGGAGGGATAGACTCTGTCCCAGGAGTTGGGAGAAGCTTCTTTGAACAGGCAATAGTCCTTCCTATTCAAGAAAGAGCAACTCGGGGAAGAAATTGGTCTCTGTGGTCAGACACTGAACTCTCAGTGTTCTCACTGTAAAATGGGAATACTACCATCCAACTGAGAGTGTTTTTTGGTTGAAAGTTAACTGAAAATGTGTGGAAGTTGTTCTCTGCCACATAAGATGGGGGGACTTGAAAGACCAGGAAGACACTCCCACATGACCCTTAAGTCTTCCCAATCCTGGCAATGTAGCTGGTTTTACAAACACACTTAATTTCTATAAATAAAAGCCAGCTCCTTAGTGTGGCATTTAGGGCTCTCCACAGTCTGAGTCAATTCACCTCTTCTGCTAGTGCTCCTCATGCCCCCCCATTCAATACGTGCCTTCCCACGTCAGTGACTCTGCTCGCATTTCCTTTGTCTTATATGTCCTTCCTTCTTATTTTCATCTGGGGCAGCTGCAAGCCCCCAAGAGCTCACATTCAAATGCCACATCTTCCATGATGCTTCCTCCCCTCCCTGAGCTTGCTCAGTATCACAAGGGCTCCTGTGGCACCTGCCTCCACCTCTTAGCTATTTGGGTTCCATGAGGAAATGTCCCTTCTAATTGTTAACTCCTTGTGGGTGGCCATGTGTCACAGCCCTTAACACAGTGAGTGCTCCATGACATCTAGATTAAGAGGAGGAAATGATTTCAAAAGAGCCAGAGTGGCTGCAAAAGAGCCAGAGTGGCTGCCAACTTCTCCCCAGGACACAGACATGCGTCTCCCCATATCTGGAGGGTGTGGGAAAAGCTATTTATAGCAGCTTAATTTGTATTACCCCAAAACTAGAAACAACCCAGACATCCTTCAGTAGAAGAATGTTTATACAAACTGTGGTACATCCATACCATGGAATACTTACTACTACTCAGCAATAAAAGGAACAAATCACGGATGCCTGCAACAACGATTTCCAGAGAATTACGCCAAGTGAAAGAAGCCAATCACAAATGCCTATATTCTGCGTAGCTCCATTTCAGTAAAATTCTTGAAATGACAAAATTACAAAAATAGAGAACAGAGTAGTGGTTGCCAGGAGTTCAGGAGAAGATGGGGGTGGGGAGGAAGTGGGTGTGGCTCTAAAAGGGCAACCTGAAGTATCTTTGTGATGATGAAAATATTCTGTGTCTTGACTGTATTGATGTCACTATCCTGGTTGTGACAGTGTACTACAGTTTTGCAAGATGTTATCACTGAGGAACTAAGTAAAGAGTACAGGCGATCTCTATTACTTCTTATAACTGCATGTGAATCTACAACTATCTGGGGGGGGAAGGAAAACACTTTTAGGGACAAAAATTTTAAAATATAATAAAGAAAATAAGTGCTTATAATCCTACTACCCTCAAATAGCCACTATTAAAATGTTAGTGTATTCCTTACAATTTTTCTATGTGTATTTTTAAAAGTCATACCACTGTACATAGTTTTAGACTTGCTTTTTTCCCCTTTACTATTTCATCATTAAGTTTCATCACATTAAACATTCTTTAAAACTGGCTTTTAATAGCCACTAGTACTCCACTGAATAGATTAACATAATTTATTCAACCTAGCCCTTCATGAAGGTGATTATCAAATTTTTTATTATTTCTTGCATTTTATTTATTTTAGAAATACACTTTACTTTGATAGAACAAAATGATACACAACAGTACCTAGATCACCACCAGATTTATTGCCTGATCCATTACCTGTCAAACCCAACCTGACTTTCTTCTTTGCAGAAAAAGAATAGCACTTGGAACAGTTAGACCTTGGTTCAAACACTGGCTCTGGCTTTCCGTTGTTGTGTGTAGTGATCTTATGTTCCCTCAGCCTTAATTTATTAGTTGGTAAAACAGAGTACGATGCTTAAGCGAGAATACAGAGATTTACACAAAAATCACTGGTATACAAAAGTGCCAATTCCTCAAAATTTGAAATAATGCTCCTCTTCAAAATATTTTCCATAAGCACATTCTTTATGCTTATAGGTTCAAGTAAAAACGCCTTGTTATGAAAAAGATGTATGTTAACTCCTACCTCACACCACATACAAACATCAATTCCAAGTGGATTGCTGAGTGAAATGTAAAAAGCAAAACAATAAAGATTTTATAGGGGGAAAAAAGAGAACATCTTTATGACCTTGGCAAAGGCAAAAATTTTCTTAAAAATGGCACAAAAAATCTTCTCCAGAAAATAAACTGGACTATATTAAAATTTAGAACTTTTGTTCATCAAAAGACACCGCTGAGTTGCCCTGGCCAGTGCGGCTCAAGAAAAGAAGACACTGAGCGAGTGCATGGCAAGCACAGAGCAGAAGACAGTCACTCTACATATATGTAACAAAGGACATTCAGAATATATAAAGAATGCCTACGAGACAAACTAAGTACAGTGTGGTATCCTGGGCTGACTGGATCCTGGATCAGAAAGAGGACATTAGTAGAAAACTGGTAAAACCGAAACCAAGTCTATAATTTAGTTAACATCATATCAACATTAATTTCTCAGTGAGGACAAATACACCTTGGTTACGTGCGATGTTAACATCGGGGGAAACTGGGCGAAGGACATACAAGAATTTCCTGTACCAACTTTGCAATTTTCTGTAAATAGGAAATGATTCCAAAAATTTGAAAAAAATGTATTTAAAACGAGAAAGAGAGGAAAGGGTGGGGGAGGGAAGGAGAGAAAGACAGAGGAAGAAAAACTTTAATAAACATATCACATAAGAGGATATCCAAATGGTCAATAAACACGAAGAAAGGGTTCACCCTCATTAGTCACCGTCATCAAAGAACGAGAACCACAAGCGAGTAATACGAAATACCCACCAGGATGAACTCAAACGAACAAAACAACCCGAGTGTTGGAGGATTTGGAATAATCAAAACTCTCGCAGACTGGCAGACGGGTCGCTCACTACCACGACCACTCTGGAAGATGCACCGGCGAGCATGCGCACGCCCTGTAACAGCAATTCCATGCCTGGCTGTCTTCCCAACAGAAGTGCCTGCAGATGCTCCCCATAAAAACACACACTAGTAACTTCATTTTAATAGCCTGAAACTAGAAATTACCCAAAGAGTCATCACGGGTAGAATGGATGATTCTGACACAGCCGTACAACGGGAAAAAACGAACTACTGTACATGCAACGTGGATAAACCTCACAGAAATATTAACCAAAAGAATTCAGACACAGCCGTGTACTAGAGGATTCCACTAATATAAAAAGTATAAAACAAGCAAAGTGCATGCTCCCACCTCCCCACAGGTGCACGCATTGTCTTCCCCTCCTGGGTCACCCTCCCTTCTCTGGCCTCCTTGAAAAATTCCCACTCGGCCTTCAAAGCTTAGCTGGGCCATCCTTTCTCTGACGGTCTCAGCCCAGCCCTCCTCAGTGAGAGCCTGCTCCCTGCACAGTACACATCCCACACTATTAACACTGACCCACCTCATTCCTTCCTAACTGCCTATTCATTCATCTCCCCCAATGAAAGCACAAGCTCCTTGACTACACAGAGAGCTTATTTTTAGCAGTGCCTGGCCTAGAGCAGGTGCTTGCTTGAATTCCAGGTAAGAAACTCAGACTCCTCAGTTTCAAGAAGTGGTGTAAAATACTGGGAAAAGTAGATACGAAGAGGAGGGGGAAGTAGGGGGGAAATGAGCAAAGGCTAAGAAAGGCAACTCTAAGAAGAAATAAAAGTGACTAATGGGTGTATATATAAGATGTTCCACCTCGCCAATAATCAGGAAAATGCAAGTGAAAACAATAGTGGGTTATCATTTGGCGGGGGTGGGAGGAGATTTCACTAAACTTGGAGATTTCAGTATAAAAATAAGACATGTAGAAGTATGCTCACAGCAGCATTGCTTGCAGTAGCAAAACACTGGAAACAACCCAGCTGGTCCACTGACAAGCAAATGCAT